GGGTAATGTGTAAAACAGTAAAATACACACATTACCACAATACTTATGGGGTAATTCATTCATTCATTCAACCTTTGTAGTGTAATGTCTAAAATAATAAAATACATACATTATCACAATACTTACAGGGTAATGTGTAAAATTATAAAAGTGTCTTTTAATAGCTAAAATGTAGCTAATATCAACCGAACAAAACTTTCTTAGTTAAACTGTTGGATTTCTGATTGGATTATAACATTTTCAGGATCAGCAGTAAAATGCAAATTCATCTTACAGCCATCCGTGAGATTTATAAATACCTGCACGTGTGACTTTGAAAACGTGCGATGAATATTTGCTCAATTACATTTTAGTACACTTTAACATTCATTCAAACAAGGCTGAGTCCTCAAGAAAAACAGGCATCTTCATACACTCCTCTGCAAGCAGGTCAACATCTAAGCTCACTCATTTATTTTCATTAGACATTAATGACAAGAATGGAGAGGCAGACGAAGCAGACGTATGGAAAGATAGAGTGAAAGGATGTAGTGGGAAGACTATCAAACCACTATCTGCTGTCCTCAACCATAAAAACCCCTCCGCTCATATTACATAACACTTCCTCTACTACTCAGTACGCACACATTGGCAGATACTAAGTAGATGTGTATTTACAGTATTGATGTGCAAGAGGTCTGAGCAGCAGAAGAAGGGCAAAAAAGCAAGTTTTCCACTTGAGAATTGACCTCTTCTTTGTGCGGTCCAGTCAGAGTGGGATGCATCACCTCTGCCGAGCTATCTCAGTTTAAAACGTCTTTGCAGCTCTTGCTCATCCTCATGTCTGCAGACGTTGCTCTTCCTGTTGTAATTTGAGTTAAGCCTGGTTCAGTGTCATAACTGTGCTTTTGCTGACTACACCATGCTGTAGTGAAGGTCCAGGCTGCAATTCAAGTGTTTAAGCCATTTAACAAAACAATATTCATCTATAAAGGTTATTTTCCTCTAGATCTAAAACCAAATATTCAAACTGCATCACCTAAGTTCAGCTGCCACTAAATCTTGTCATTATTTTTATAAAGACCACTTTATAGAACTGTGATAATTTTGCAAAATTGTGTTCATTAAGTTCTCTCGAGGAAAGAGTGAAACTTTTATGCATTAGAATTTATTTTGTTTTGATGGATTTGGGTTTGATGTTGCTATGTGTCATGTAGTTTTTGTTCACAAAGGCGAAAAGTAGCCAGAAATAATGTTTTATTATTCATAAGGTAGGTTATTATTGTCTGATCTGTTGCAGGTCTATATTAAAAAAGGAAAATATTTGCATGACAATGAATCAGACAGAATTCTGAACTCCTGACAGCCCTTGTTGTTAATGTGAAAGCTAAAAGAAAACCAAGATGTTTCACTTTTTAGCACCAGACACACAAAATAACAGAAGCAGAGACGTGTAACAGCAGCTATATTTGGTTAAAGTGTGCAAACATTCAAATTTGGCAAATTAAACAGGAGTTATAATAAGAAAAAATACAATTATACTGTATTTATTGACTAATAAGAATATATTTCAACTTTTGCAACAATTATGGCAAGAATAAATGGAACTTGAAAATATTTTAAAATCTATTTTTGTTTCTGGAAGTCATCTAAAGACCCCAAACTTCACGTTTGATGACTCATTGGAGTCCCAACCCCAACTTTGAGAACCACTGATTTAGGTTTGGTTAGGCTTGGTTTATTTGTCTTATGCAAATCAGCACAAGGTCAACAATGCAATGAAATGCTCGGGACAAGAAGAACGGTGCATGGTACTGTTAGCAGTATGGTCCCGTGAGCAACATGGTACTGTTAGCAGTGTGGTTCAGTTAGCAGCATGGTACTGTTAGCAGCATGGTCCCATTAGCAGCATGGTCCCATTAGCAGCATGGTCCTGTTAGAAGCATGATACTGTTAGTAGCATGGTCCCGTTAGCAGCAAGATACTGTTAGCAGCATGGTCTCGTTAGCATCATGGTACTGTTAATAGCACGGTACTGTTAGCAGCATGTTACTGTTAGCAGCATGGTCCCGATTGCAGCATGGTACTGTTAGCAATGTGGTTCATTTAGCAGCATGGTGCCGTTGACTACATGGTCCCGTTAGCAGCATGGTCCTGTTAGCAGCATGGTACTGTTAGCAGCATGGTCCCAATAGCAGCATGGTCACATTAGCAGCATGGTCACGTTAGCAGCATGGTACTGTTAGCAGCATGGTACTGTTAGCCGTGTGGTTCAGTTAGCAACATGGTGCTATTAGCAGCATGGTACAGTTAGCAGCATGGTACTATTAGCAGTGTGGTCCCGTTAGCAACATGGTCCCGTTAGCAGCATGGTACTGTTAGCAGTGTGGTTCAGTTATTGGTGTAGTCTTGTTAGCAGCATTAGGAGGTCTTGATAGCAGGTCCCATTAGCAGCTTGATGATAATAACAACCGCAGCAACTCCTCTCCCAGACTGCCCTCCAGAACTGTGTCTGGCGGACAGAGAACATCCAAGGTTTCCCCGCGGAACGGAACGGGTCCGTAGAGTTCAGTCTGTGCAGGCAGATGGAAGATGATGAAGACAGCCGCCATGACAGGCTGGAGCCTGAGCTCAAGGCTAGAAGGGGGCCGGGAACTGAACCATGAGGGCATGTTGGCAAGATGGCAAGGCAGTGACACATAAAACTCCAAAAGTGCGTCGTGGTCATCCTCGTAGCGTGGGTGTGCAGTGTTGGCACAAAACACGGTTAAAACAAAAACAACAGGAACAAAAAAAGATCAAGTTGAAGCGGCGCTCCTGTCAGTGGCACCATTCTGTGTCGCACGGGACGTCAGAGTTATGGTTAATTAAGTTCAGTGCAAAAATCAATGCAAACATGTTCCTGATTTTAGTATTTTACCCCGATTCATAATGTCGCTCATTTTTCACTTAGTTTTGTATCACTACTTTGATTTACTTTTCACTTCATATGCATTTCATGGCCGTTTATTGTCGTGTGTACCTCTTCCGTGCTTTTGTTAAAAACAGGGCTCTCTTGAAAATGAGTCCTCATCACTCGAGACTAACCTGTATAAATAAAGGTTGAATGAATAGAATGAGCAAAAAAGCAGCACTTAAAGATCAATAAGAGCAAAACAACATGCAATTAAGAAAACGGAATCATTTATACCTAATGATACCACACAGGATGAAATGGTTTCCCATGGCTATGCATGTTTCGACATAGTGCACTGTAAAACATGATCAAATTTAATGACATAGCTGCTCCGCAGTCTCCATAATTGCAATTAAAATGACAAAACTAGTCATTATCCTACTATGTGGCCCACTTCATGAGCCATCTAATCTTTTTTTATAAAGATGGAAATGTTTTGACCTCTAAAATAACAAGCCCTCCTTGCGCTCGACAACACAACCAGTATCTTCCTCGCCATTAATTTTGCTTAACACACTGCGAGTGCCACAACATAGCATCAGATGATAATATCTTACTAAGCACATCTTGGTGCGCAGAAGCTGCTGCAGACAGAGCAGAAGCATTTGTGGAAAGGAAAAACGGCAAAATAAGACATTTCGTTGCGTCACAACACATGCATGGGGGGCAAATGATGGCTTCATTTAGAGCAGCGTTTGTGGATATTTAATATACTTGCAGATCTTTAGGTGCTAGGATCTAGTAGCACTTTGAAGGAACATATGTTTACTATTCCGATCAGAAAAGCTCTGGGTGTCAAACCGTAAATGTGCCACCAGGAAACGGAGTCCTCCTTGTAGGAAGAAAAGCAATTTATTGAATGGCTTGTAGAGAGTTAATTTTAAATCTAGTGTTGCAGTTTTGTTTAAAGGGAAAATACTGTGGTAACGTAAATGTACACAAGGAGTGAAGGCAGGCAATAATGTCTTTCCATGCGCCTGCCTGTCATCAAAATATCCAACGAACCGCTAGGTGCATTTTAATGAAATGTGCAGAAAGCAATCATTGGATGTACTGTACATCCCCAACTGATTAATATTTGGAGTTATTGCGATCGAAGGTGACCGCCACAACCAAGTGACCTTAAAAAACACAAAAATAGCTATAACTCGACCGACTTTGCAAATATTAGCCTAAAATTGGGTGTGATAGAGGATTTAATACCAAACATATGTTGTGAGCTTTAACATATTGCACAGAATCTTTGTTCATATTAGAGCTATTACATATTTGGAGTCTACTGTCTGTTAGCAAAATACCTCATAGACCACTGGGCACATTCTAATGAAACTTTCAGAAAATAATCATTGTGTGTGCAACTACAACCTGTTACATTCTGAAGCCAACCCGATTCATTATGGCCACCACAGCCAACTAAAATGAGCAAACACAAAAATGACTCCAGTGCAGTCAGTTTTACAGATATTGGGGTTACATTTGGTGTGGTTGTAGCTCAGAACCATTCACAACATATGCATTACTTCCAGGAACGCTAGGCCTTTAATCCTGAAGTCTCTAAAGCTGGTTGTCAACTTCAGGGTAAACAAATGTTATTGTCCATGCAGATTATTACCTCATTAATTTATTTAATGTTGGGCCAGTAAGGAGTCTCAGCAGAGGGCCATTTCCCTCGCTCCCCTCCTCTGAATTTTCTAACAGTAGGAGATTTAACAGTGAAGAAAGACACCACTAGCAAAGTGTCGATCCCTTTTGACTGCCTTTGTTTTATTAATGTCAGTCTTGTTATTGCTATTAGCAATTTCCGTCTCGTTGTCAGGTGAAGCTGATGTGAGAGAGTCATGCACGCTCACACTCCTTCGCACTGACTCAAAATAGCAGCGGCCTTACCTTTCTGTACACAATCATGTTGGGGGACTCATCTGCCACCCCGTTGGTCCCTTGCCCGCTGCTGTTGGTCTGTGCCATGATCCAGTGAGTATATCTGCCACTGGGGGGTGGGGAAGGAGGGGGATGTCAGGTGCTCCTGTGTGACAAGAGAGGAGATTTTGGCCCCTATCAGTAAGAAGAACAATGAGAATATTGCCAATAAATGGCGGCTTGGATGGTGTTTCTACATATTTGGCATTTTTAACACATGCAGACGAACAAATGTTCACACTTTACAAGGTCTGGACAAGGACAGGGGCAGCACGGTGGCGCAACTGGTAGAGCTGCAGCCTCCCAGCGAACAGATTATCCTGGTTCAAAACCTGGTCCGGGGGCCTTTCTGGGTGGAGTTTGCATGTTCTCTCCGTGCATGCGTGGGTTTTCTCCGGGTGCTCCGGTTTCCTCCCACAGACCAAAAACATGCATGTTAGACTGATTGGTAACTCTAAATTGTCCCTAGACGAGAGAGTGAATGGTTGTTTGTCTCGTTTTTTTTTTTTCTCTATGTGTCCCTGTGATGGACTTGAGACCTGTCCAAGATGTCCCCCGCCTCTTGCACAGTGATGGCTGGACATAAGCACCAGCGACCCGAAAAGGAAAAAACAGGTAAAGATAATGGATGCAGTGGTGTACTTTATGTGATGCGCTGGGGATACAGAGTATACCTACTAGAAAAGCTTGGAAATTTGCAGTATACCCACTTAAAAGTTCCCAATGATACGAGTCCATACAGTGCTGACATTGTGATGACATTATTATTATTATTATTATTATGTTGGCAATGATGCATGACATGGACTCGTGTCATTGTCAACACATTTGGAACATTTTATAGACACATTGAATTGGTTCAACCTATTTTTTGTATAATTAATACTTCCGTATGTACTACTTAGTACTGGAACATGTTTTGCTTTGATACGGTTTTATAAATGCTATAACATATTTTTAATACAAAGCCAACTGTTGTACAAAGTTTTGTTGTACATTTTCAAATAAAACGTACACGCATTAGTGTATGCATACAAATGTATACGTTCAAATAAAAGCATCAGAGAAATGTCGAAAAGTTCAGTATGCTTACAAATCAAAATAAATTAATGGTTACATTGTACTAACTGGTGTACTTTGGTTTCTAAGCACAGTATACCCACTACAACAATGTAGACTATACCACTGGATGCTGGATAAGGACATTGTGAGATTTTATTAAAGCTTGACTAAGGTAACCCGAAGGTTATATACAAATGAGGCAAAAGTTCAACTTGAAAACAACAACAATCAATAGTTATCATTTATGGGACTCTCAAATGGGTCCACGGTGCCTCCGAAACAGACACATTTGATTCTTTGTTGACACTGGAGGATTTCTCACGCACTACATGGCACCTACTATGGATGCATCCTATTAGTGAGGCAGAAAGATGAGGCGAGGCAGCAGTAAATGCAGTAAAACAACACACCGTCCCCGGAGGAGGCAGGACACTCTTCAATGTAGCTTGGATACATCCATCTGAGTGGAGCAGCCATTGTCAAAAATGTGCAAGACTTTGCAAATAGACATCGTGTGCAGCTTCATCTTTTTTTTTTTTTCTCCTTTCTCTCTCCTCTCCATGACACCCACTCGGCATCCTTGCAAGGTTTTAGTCTGCAGATTGATAGCCTCTAGCATTCAAACAGCGAAGTCATCCAATCTGTTTCACTCTCAGGGCCGTAAATGGATTCTTTAACGCGCGTTGACGAGCGCGGTCGGACGCTCTTTAAGCACTTCGGACAGCTACCGCCCCTTGTCGTCTCCTTCCCTTCGAAGAGCACGTAAACACAGAAAACAGAAGACGGTCACCGAAGGGAAACGGAGTGGAAGAGGAGGGAGGCTTACCTGTAAATAAAAATTAAAAAAAAAATTAAAAAGCAGCCCGCTTTAGGACTCCTAAATCCACGCACGGGTGGAAGCCTGGTCCGTGTGCGTGTCAACTGGCAGACACAGGAATGTGAGGGGTCTGCATTGGCGGCGGGAGGAAGCCAACCTTGGGCGGACAGCTCGGTGTGTGGACCCGCTCAGCCGCTCCTCTCCTCCCGTCACCAGCGATGCCGCTCACTAGCACGTGCGCGTCACCTCGGAGCGCCGGGAGCGCGCCCCAGATCTGCGGCCAATCGCGTGCGAGAATAAATTACAACCGGTTGGGCGAGGAGGAGGAGGAGGGGAGGAGGGGAATCAATGGAGTTGTTTTGAAACAGAAATGTCGCTGTCGTTCATGCAATGAAAGATTAAAGACGCGGCATTCATGGGAGGAATGCGCATCGCCCGCCAGGGGCAACACTCTAATGGGCATTGATGTGTGGGAGTAAACCTTGTAAATGTCAATATGCACACGGTTTCGTGAATTTTTTGAGATCTCGCGAGATTTGTACCAAAATGGACCGAGTAAGACTCGCAGCTACTACCTCTCAAAATTCAGCCAAATGTTTGTAAAGTGACTGAAATGTGGCCATTTTTGTGATTCCCAGGGTCGATAGTGGCTACCATTTTGATTTTGGATGACTCCAAAAGTCAATCATGCAATTCTTAAGGTCCTGTTTCTCTTTTAGTTGAAACGTTGCGTCCTTCATCCTAAGGACTTCATCAGTTTGAGGAGACACAACAAACTCAGTCCCATAAGTGCCTTAAGTAGGCCAACCAGTTTTATGGTGATAAGATGGTTTCTGGAGTCCGCCCTCTCCCCCATCGACTCCTCTGAGGCAGACATAGCCAAAGTGGTTCAAAACATCAAAGTTCATGCTCAGTAATCCAGGTAAAAAATCCAACAAAGTTAAGTCAGGTCTTCTGGATGGTTTCTTTCTTCTTTTTTTTTGTTTAAATGTTTCATCTTTCATCCAAAGGACTTCATCAGTCCAACTTCATCAGTGAGTAAGCCACAGTAGCTTACTTACATGTGAGTAAGCCACTTATGAGACCGAGTTTGTTGTGGCTCCTCAGACTGATTAAGTCCTTTGAATGAAGGACGAAACTTTTCAACAAAAAGAGAAACTGTACAGAGGACCTGACTTAACTTTGTTGGATTTTTTTTTTTAACCTGTCAAACCTTTTCTTATACCTTTTTTGTCAAAATAAAATGATTTTAAAAATGCACAAAAAGGGCTGTCTTTTTAATATATAATAATTATTTTTTTATTCATATTTCCAACGTTCAACAACTTCCCTTTCCGAAAGTTAATTCAGAACAGGAGTCAATCACTAAAAAAATATGGATTTTTTTATTATTATTATTTTAGCTGTTACAAATAATACTCCTCTGTTTTTCTACTGACCAATTCAAAACATAAAAAATAAATCAATTGCAAAGATATGGGGATCAAGTGCCACAGACTTAAATAAAATAAAAATAAAATCTTTTGATTTTTTTTTTTTTACAGGCTGCAGTTTTGAAATCTGCTGTCCAGGCATGAAAGTTGACAAGTGTGACCTTTTTTTTTTTCTGTACTGCATGTGCCTTCATTATCAAACTTGTGTCCTCTTCAGATTCCACAAGGTTGACCAAATAAACAATCTGTTTCTCTGCGAGCGGCAGAAATCAAAAGTACTGCATGAATGTGCTGTCATAACAACTTTGTAACAGTAAACTCTTACCATGCTAAACAGCATCAGATGATTACATTTTCTGCAAGTCTATTCCTTGCTGCTTCATAATTAATACATCTGTCATGTGTTTCAGTATTAGTTTTTTTATAATGGAAACAACAGTTAACACCTCTTAAGAATGATAAAGTATTGGGTAATACATGATTATAAGTTATATTTTCTAGTTGGTCTGAGATGCATTTTAGGTTTTGAAACAGAGCAAATCTCAGAGAAATGCAAATTCACAAAAATTTTAGTGATTTTTGTATTTAAAGCACTTTGGTATTTGTAATAAATCATGTATATTACTTTAAACACTTTATAAATGCAATCCAAGTCAGTCAGAAATTATTTTTCTGTTAAGCAGGGTCACTTTAGCCATTAGCCTCATTAGGTATTTTTTCTTTAAATAGCAACAATCTGAAGATATCGAGAAACTCGTTCATGCTATTAAACCAGAAATGGATTGCAACAAATATGGAGAATTTGTTTAGTTCCTCCAGCAGATCACAAACATGTCGAGTAAGATGATGGACCTTTTTTTTTTTTTTTTTACTTGTTTCCAGTTAGTTGTTGGAAGTTAACATTAGTGTAGAGTACAGGAGGCATTAAAAAACACCATAATGCTTGAAAATATGTTATATGCCTTTATTGCTCATAAACCTAAGCATGTTTAGTTTTTAATAATATATTACGCTTTCTTTGTTCAACAGAGTCTTTTATAAAATTGAAAATAAAAAAATTAAAAATTAAATATTTTCCCATGTATGGTTATTTTAACAGATGTCAAATGCTTTTACCCTTAAGGCAAATGTTTAAACTCTGTTTTTTTTTTCTTTCAAAGTGAAAAAGTCACACAATTTTATGTCAATACTAATAAATTTAGCATGTGACAGTTGTAATCTTTAGAGTAAAGCTTTCAGATAGGTGTCGGGAACGAGTTAAACATCTAGTATAACAGTGAAATATTAGTTGTGTAATCTATCCATCTTGTCATGGTGATAGACAGCATGGGAAGATGTGTCTAATGTACAGCAGTAAAGACATCTGGCTACAGATGGAAAACAAATGAACCCACTTGAGGGTGAATTGTAATGACAAACATGAAATATCAGCTAAAGATTCATAAAAAAATATGCGCATTCTCAGAAAATGCAACTCTGGAAATGAACAGTGAATCGTGAGTGCTGAATGCCCCTGTTGAAATTTGATGAAGAAGCTAAAACTGAGTTGTTAAAGTACAACAAAAAAAAAAGAACACTAGCTAAATGCTAAAAGTAACAAAAGGCTAGCTAAAATTAAGAGGTACGCTAGATAAATGATTAAATCTGCAGAAAGGGAACAGCTAAAAGTAGCAAAAAGCAACAAAAAAAAAAAAAGTTTTCCGAACAGCTGGCTAGAAGATCTATAAGTCTGTTGAAGCAGATTTCTAAAAAAAAAAATGTTTCTGAGGGAATTAAAAAGCTTTTGATGTATTTCTAAGTAGGCTTGTCACGATAACATATTTTGCTGGTCGATTAATTGCCTTCGAAATTATTGCAATAAACAATAATATTGTTGGAAATTTGACAATAATTAGTAATTATTGTCAAATTTAAGAAGAAAGGTCAATTTGTTTTGGGTGCAGTATCTTTTTTGACCACTGGATGGCAGTATAATATTGTTTGAACTGAAGGATGGATAGTGAGGGAGCGAGCAGCGTATCTCTTTAAGAAAAATGGGAGGGAGGCCCCTTGACATGACATGGGATGTCTCTCCATTTTTTTCTAGTTCTCAAAACGTTGGACACTCGGTGTGATTTGATTATTTATTTAATATAGCATTTTTCCACAAAAAAGCCTTTAATAAAAAAACAAGTAAACAAGTTCTCAGTTTCTTTTTGCAAAGAAAAACAACTTTTTACACGAAGGCATGACTTTCAACCATAAATTTTGGAGCTTCAACAAGACGTGTTTTTTTTCCCGAGGTTGACCTGTTAGCTTAGCTTGTATCTTAGCTTCTCAGCTTAGCTCCTTTTAGCGGTCCAAAAACACAATTTTGGATGGTTAAAACAGATTTTAAAGAGAAAAGAGAACTGGAGGGGTCAATGAAGAGCACCAGAGTTGAGCCTTTTGCCAACCAGTGTCCAGTAGAAAGAGAGAGACACGAATGAACGATAAAGCCGATAAAAGAAAATGAGGTCAATAATTTTCAGTTATCATGCGATTAATTGATTTATTGTTTATCGCGACAGGCCTATTTCTAAGTGGAAAGTATTTGTACATAAAGTTAAAGAATTGGTAAAATATAAAAGTAACAAAGCTATAGCATCCTTCCCATTAGCTGAACACACATTTTGATATACAAATGGACTAAATATTGCAAAGTATAATTGCAAAAGAAAGTGTAATAAATAATAATAAAAAACAGGAAAACTATATCAACATGTGTTTCCACACTGAGTAAATCACGCTTTAAATATTTTATTACTATATTATAGCATCATGAAGTGACTCTTTCTTTCAGTGGTTTGATCTTTTGAAATATATATTTTTTTCAATCTCAGTGAATATTTTAGTACGCTGTCCCTTTAAATTAAAACTCGGTTAAAAACTTCACTTCCCATAATGCATCGGTCTAAGTCGTCGAACAAAAACGCGGAAACAAAAGAGCGAATCGCTTGTTCAAAACAAACAACGAGTCGGCAGAAAGTGAGCGCAGTTGACAGCTGTCTTAGTTAACCTTGTAGCTTCTCCAGCCTGCTCTGAAAGGCTTGTCATGGCTCTGAAGAGAATACAGAAGGTGAGAAAAGTCGTCGTTTCTTCATTTATTCACCCCACAGATAAAACAGGATGAAGCTGTGCGGCGGAAACGCCTCAATGCTAGGAGATCATCGTCGTTTTGAGTTTTTTTGACCTTCTGAAAACTTTACGTAAATCATAGATTGTGTTAATATCAGCTGGCGAAGCACTCCAACTTTTAACAAATAAACTTATTCTCCATCAACATTTTGAATCGTATCTTCTGGTGAACAATAACCGGAGGGATAACGATGGAAACGAGTCCAGCCAGGACTGTGTCTTTAGCTGCCTAAGCAGGCGCCTGTTTACATGTTGGTTGTATTTACTAAACAGTTCAATTTAATATCAACTAATCAGTCTTGAGCTCAGTGATGACACATATTTTAAAAGCTATGTTTTGAATTGTGTGTCGTCTGTGGTTAGCTTAATTTAATTAAATGTAAACAAAGCTCTGCAGTGTGGAGACTTTTGATTTATTTTATTTTTTTGTTTTGCAGGAGTTGAATGATTTACAGAGGGACCCCCCGGCTTCGTGCTCAGCTGGGCCTGTGGGAGAAGACTGTAAGTGTGGAATTGTGTACCAAATATCACATAGTTTTCTTTTATTTTTTGCATTTGAAACTACGTTTACTACTGTGGCTTAATGACCTTCACACATGTTGTTTCTTTGTCCCTTTTTTCCTCCAGTGTTTCACTGGCAAGCCACCATCACTGGACCAGTAAGCTTTGTTTTTTCCTAGTTCTGTTACCTGATTTTTGTTTAAACCAAGTTGCTTCTGGATCGTTAGACAATGGTGTTTTTTGTTGACTTTACATTTTTTTCTGTTATGTATGGAAAGCTCAGACTGGCACCTACCCTAGTATTATTCTCTGAAGTGCATGGCATTGTTGAGACACAAATATTAGGTACGTTTAGCAATAGTTTGCTCTTCTGTTTCAGAATGACAGCCCTTACCACGAAGGAGTGTTTTTTCTTTCTGTCCATTTTCCCACTGACTACCCCTTTAAACCACCAAAGGTGAGATGGTCTTCTTTTATAATTCAAATGCATTTTCTACTGGCAATTTCTACAGTAATCCGACTACTGTGTTCTTGAACAAAGAGCCAACCAATGTTCAGAATCAAGAGCTGTTTCTTTTTCTTTGTGCTTTGCTTATAGGTTGCCTTTACAACAAAAATCTACCACCCAAACATAAACAGCAATGGTAGCATTTGCCTTGACATTTTGAGGTCACAGTGGTCACCTGCACTTACAATATCAAAAGGTAATCAAAATCTATTTTATACCTGCATTTTGAAGAACACTACTTTATAGCAGCGCTTTGTAATGAAAGGTACACACGATTTATTTTAATTGTTTAAATAAACGGGGCGGGGGAAATCAGAGCAGCAAGAGTGAGTTTCAAAGACTGATGCGACATGTTCTACCCAACCTCGGATTTTTTTCCACACATAAACACCTGGGATCTTGAGGGGAAGGTGCCAACACTTTTTTTTTGTGTGTGTGTGTGTGTGTGTGTGTGAATTTTAACAGCTCGACACATTCATTTCACAGTGAGAGGTTGTGCACTGAAAATGCACTCTGAAATGTGAGGAAGATGGTGCAGACAAACATCTGCTTAGAGAGCACACGAGGCTTAACGGTGCAAAAATAATTGCTGTTTTTTTTTTTTTTTAAACATTACAAATAAGCTTCCTAGATGATTAATTTTTTCCGTCAGTACCACATGTTTTTGAACATAGCTATATTGTTGAGCGAGTCGAAAGCAGCATGCAGCTCAGCAGAAAACGGCAAGAAGCGGCAACTTTCAGAAGCTCACACCTGCTCACGTGCACACTCGCAGTTAAAGCAACAGAAAATGTTCCTTTACGTTCGCACGCTCTCACAGGAGGCAAACATTTCTGCCGGAAAAAAAATGGAGCAGATATTGTCATTCTAACATAGTTTTCCTCTATAACATTTCCAGTTCAAGTTTTAATTGTCATTTGCATCACATGTGGTACATGAGGTGGAACAAAATTGTGTACAGGGTCCCAGTTACACCCAAAAACAGCAAAAGTATAAAAAGAAAGAGTTTATAAGGATCTAATATATATGCTAAATGATTCACTAAAATATCCTAAGTTATAAGCTAAACACTAATAATGTAAAATACTACGGTATATTAAACAGCAGCCCGAACATGAATGTAGTGAGTAGATGGGGATGAATGAATACAGCAGCATGAGATCAGCAGCATCTATAAAAAAAAAGAGAATGAACACCATTTTTAACTACGTAAACAGACATAATTATAAATTATTGATGCTTGAAATTACTCGTACAGTATGCATGTATGTGTTCAGCTTGTTAACTGGGTACCTGTAGATGATGTGCAGAGATTTGACCAAAAATACGAAATATAATATAATTTGAAACCTGCTTGCTAACACATTTTTTTTCTATTTATATTTTTTCAATCCTAGTTTTGTTATCCATATGCTCCTTGCTGTGTGACCCAAATCCAGATGATCCTCTGGTCCCTGACATTGCACACATCTACAAATCAGACAGGCAAAAGTGAGTATCAAATAACTTTACTTCTAAAACGTATTTCCTTTAAATCATTGTATATGTTTTTTTGTTTGTTTTTGTTTAAGGTACAACAAACTGGCCAGAGAATGGACCCAGAGGTATGCCATGTAACCAACTGGACCGTACTGTTCAACTGCTTTATCCTCGCCGTTTGTAGCCGAGGTGTTTGACACACTTAATGCACTTTCTCTTCTGAAATTTTACTTGACCCGTTTATTTTATTATTTTGGCATTACTGGCATTTTTTTGTTTGTTTTTCCTTTTCATTTTAACTGATGTGCAGAGATGACGTGGTTGATTTTCTTTCAAATCATGTGTATTGTACATCGCTGTATTTTTGATTATATTGAATTAAAAGTTGAAGCGTTAAGATGAATGCCATTTTTTTTCTTCATAAACAAGTTAAATGCTGCTTTTAAATGGTTGCATATTTTTCTTTATTTTATTTTGACCATTAGATGGCAGACTTTACTCTTTTCTAACTAAGCATTTTCATGATTAACTCTCTTTGGCATTTTTATCTTCACATTTATGCCATATTTAAATGAAGTCTATTTACAAAATGCTTATTTAGAGACTAGTTATTCTCGTGTATTTATGTAGTGATGAGTTAAAATAAAAGTGCAGTGTTCTTACCTGTTATCTGTCGTTGAAACATACTTGTAAAATGAGAGAATACACAAATGGAGCAGCTCCAGGTTTCTTTTAATATGTTATATGGAAGACAAACATGCTCTCTTTACCAGTAGTGTAGTATTTGAAATAGTTTTCTACTTTGCTGTTAACATGTCATCTGTTAAAATCTGACATAGCATCCATAATTTAAAGTAAATTATTTTAGGCCTTGCAAAATCCAGAGTTTTTAATATTTTAGTCAAAACAGACAAATAGTTGTTATATTTGAGGAATAGCTTATATTGTGTAATATTTAATCTATTTCATTTATACTGGTTAAAAGATACTAGGAGACTTTAGGTGCAACACTGATACAAAACTAGAACGTTCTTTTTTTTTTGTCATTTTAATCTGATGTAGACTGCAAATCTAGTTTTCAAGATGTAACATGATTATAAAAATCATTGGTCAGTCTTGCAATGATATCGAAAATGTGATTGATCAAACTACTAGGTGCATTAGTCGTGGTCAAAAATGAGGATAAAGTTTTCTCAAAATTATAGTAACTCGGAGGAAAAGCAGAATTAGTGACATAATTATTGAAATAAACTCCATGGGTTCAGGCGACACATTTGAGTTTGGGTTAAGCTCTTCAAGTTACAGTTTGTTTACAAGGATACAAGGATTTTTGTCATTTGCGTCACGTGGTACATGAGGTGGAACGAAGCTATGTACACAGGGTCCCAGTTACATTCAACACAAATACAAATTGTAAAGAAAAACATTAGTAAGATCCAAGTCATGAACAGAATATACTACATTCACTAAACTAAGAATACACTAAGCACTAATGGTGCAAAAACAACAGCAGCACAAACATGAGTGTAAGGGCAGATGAGGATTAATGAACACGGCAACGTGAAGTAATCAGCAGCATGAGATCAGCATCATGGATACCATACCACTTTATTTATAAAGCACTTAAAACAGCGACAAGGCCAACCAAAGTGCTGTACAGGTAACACACAAAGCAATATATGAAATGAGGTAAATCAGAATGTAGACATAAAAACGATGCAGATAATGACGACAAACCAGTGTGGAGCATACAGGATCAAAACACAGATCACGTTGTGATGAAAGCTACTGAATAGTAGTGAGTTTTTAAATGGGACTTGAAAACCGAGAGGGAGGGGGCCTGTCTGACAAGCAGAGGTAACTCGTTCCAAAGTCTTGGTCCTGCTACAGAGAAGGCCCTGTCACCTCTGCGCTTAAGACGAGTTCCTGGAACTGTGAGGAGCAACTGATCCGCTGACCTCAGGGAACGTGGTGGGACATATGGTTGTAGCAAATCAGAGAGATAGAGGGGGGCGACACTGTTCAGTGATTTGTAGACATACGTGAGTATTTTGAACTGGATTCGAAAGTGAACTGGTAACCAGTGCAGTGAGGCCAAAACTGGTGTAATGTGCTCTATTTTGCCTGTACTGGTTAAAAATCGGGCTGCTGCATTCTGGACCAGTTGTAGTCGTGCAATGGAGGTCTGACTGATACCAAACAGGAGCGAATTGCAGTAATCAAGCCTAGATGGAATGAATGCATGTATTACTGTCTCCAGTTTATTTTTGGACAATATGGGCTTCAGTTTAGACAGCCGCCTCAGTTGGAAGAAGCATGATTTAACAATCATGTTTACATGATTGTTAAGTTTCAGGGAAGGGTCCATTATCACGCCCAGATTAGTGACTCTTTGTTTTTCTGACGGGGTTAGAGTGGAAAGGTTGATGCAGTGGTTTGTGATCGTGTCGTTGGGAGGGAACAACATGACTTCAGACTTCTTTTCATTGAAACTTAAGAAGTTTAAAGCCATCCAGTCCCTGATGTCAGCCAGGCAGTTGAGCAGCGGTTGAATAGAGCATGTACCATTGTGTCTTAGGGGGAAGTAAATTTGACAGTCATCGGCATAGAAGTGGAAGGGCATGTTGTGTTTCCGGAAAATAGCACCAAGCGGCAGCAGGTATAAAGAGAATAGGAGGGGACCCAGTATGGACCCCTGCGGAACCCCCCATTTAAGCTTTGCCTCTGCGAAACTAAATCATGGATGTCATGGTTTTCACGTTTACGTAATCTGAATTCCAGTAACTGATGCGGAGCTTCAGTATTTATGATCAAAGTGAGGTAGTTTTGTTAAAGTTGAACGGCGTTTGACTTGCTTCATGTTTTGAAAATTATTTTCCTGTCATCCCTCTGAAGGCCAGCTTAGCTCATGAGTCAGAGTCACACTTTCTACACATTTAACTATAAAGGAAAACATGCAAACCACACAGATAGAGCCCAGACCCAACCTGGGGATTGAATCCAAGACTTCCTTGCTATGAGGCAACAGTGATAACCACTAAGCCACCGTGCAGCTCTACATCCATTTTCGGTGGGGTCGCTGGTGCCCATGCAGTCCCTCTGCGAGAAGTGGGATACACCCTGAACATCACAGGGGGCCTTTAGTTGTATTTTAATTACAGAAAGTTACAAAAAAGGCAATCATTACTTGAAATATTTTAGTGCTTCAAACTTTAGTTGTTACATCAAAGCCTAAAGTCTGTGTAGTAAACAACTCTTCTGTTTGTGAATAGAAACCTTTATGTGCACCTATTGTAATTTTTATGGGTTAGAACAAATTACTTTGATGGGCCCCAAATGTATCTGTAGCCCAGGGGCCCAAACCCACTAAAAACCAGTCCTGCAACTCATGTGGTAAGAATGGTTCAGATTTATTTGACTAAACAGCTTAACACAGAGGAAACGTTTTTCTGTACAAAGAGCTTTCAGCTGAAGTCAGCTGGAACTGCATTACATCTTTTTCTTTCAGTTCTTCCCTCTTCAGATGTTGCCAAATCATTCTTCTTCACCTCACTCTGTCCTCTGCATCCTCTGTCCTCACTCCAGCTACCTCCATGTCCTCGCTCCTCTTTGGCCTTTCTCTTTGTCTTTTTCCTGGCAGCTGCATTTCTAACATCCTTCTACCAATATACCCACTGTCCCTCCTCTGGACATGTCCAAACCAGCTCAGTCTGGCCTCTCTAACTTTATCTCCCAGTTGTTCAACCTGTGCTGTACCTCTGATGATCTCATTCCTAATCTTATCCATCCTTGTCACTCATAAGAAGAACCTCAACATCTTCATTTCCACCACTTCCACTTCTTTCTCCTGTCTTTTTGTCCATGTCTCTGTCTACAGACCATACAACATAACTGGTCTCACTGCTGTCTTGTAAACATTTTGTTGGATCTTTTCTCACTTTTGTCTCAAATCACTCCTGAAACTTTTCTCCGTCCTGCCTGGACTCTTTTCTTCACCTCTTTACATTATTTACCGTTTTATATTGTGGGCCACATTGGATATCTTTTGTTGTTGTTAACCCTTTAAAATAAGCATAAATTACTAACAGCACACTTATTTTGCCTATGCAACTAATTGATAGTGTAACCAAGAAGTTAAAAAAAGTGTACTCTTATTTCAATAACCCCATTTAACAGAAGTGTCTTACAAAAGGTAAAATACAAACGAGTACAGTAACTATTAAAACCCCAAATAGAATAAAAATACATACAAAATAAACAAAGCCAGGCCATAAAAAACAGAAAAAAGTCGTTTTTAATTGTACATGTAGACCTGCATCCTTCTGGTTGTGTTTCCTTTAAGGACTGTTGGAAATGTGGGGATGCACACTTGTAAAGGTCATTCATTGTCATTTAATATCCATAAATCTGCTGATGTGTGGGCCAGAAACTGTCTGCTTTTTGAGCAAAAGTCGAGCACTCAAGAACTCAAGTCAAATGAAATCCAGAGACTTTCTCGGAAAGCCGTAAAGTTTGGAGATCTTCGCAGGAGCTCGGAGAGGAAACCGATTTTCCCAAACTTTCTGGGAGGAGTCTCGTGTTTTTTTTTTTTTTTTAATTATTTTTTTTTTCCACGCTGACACGTGAAACTTTCCTGAGGAGGTGCTCAGTGTGTGTGGCTGTGAGGAGCTCGGGTGGCTCGGCAGACGGACAGTGTGTGGGTCAGGGCGCTCCTCCTGACTATTTTTAGAAGCGGCTCCAATGGAAGGAGCCTGAAGGCAACGCAGCAGCCCAGGATGAGTTCACACGACGCCGCCGAGAAGTGACGGAATAATAACTGTATATAAATATTAAGAGAGCGGCTTTTTTGTTCCCTCAGCTCAGTTTTGACGAAATTCGCAGTGGCCCCTGCCTGGAGAAGTTTCCGCGCAGCGCCATGGCTGCTCAGTGCGACGCTTTGACTGGATACTTGCAGCAGTCCGACCAGGGCTCCAACAGCGAGCGGAGCACCGACTCCCCTCTGCCCGGCTCAGAGGAGGACCTGAGCGGGCCTCAACCGCTGCCAGACCCGGAGTGGACCGAGGAGAGGTTCCGCGTGGACCGCAAGAAGCTGGAAGTCATGCTGTTAGGTAATCTTGTGTTTAATTGCTCATCCTACAGGGCGGGAAAAAGTTCTTTACTTTTAAATGTAAACTCTCGGGTCTCCAAGAGTTTTATTTTTGCCATGGTAGCATTGTTTTGAAGAATTAGTTAAAGTCATGAACCGGAAGAGCCAATTAAGGCAATTAAGTCGGGTCAAACTTCTCTGCGCCTCCAATTAATAGACTGTTTACAACTTCGTGACATACATTATAAACAGACTAGAGAGTTCAATCAGTTGAACACTGAAATAAGTGGCTGACAGTTCAGTTGTATGGCCAGAAACTTGAAATAAGCGATAAAGTGAAAGTTATGCTTTAAATCTTGCACCTGCAGTAACACGATCTGACCACCAGATGGCGCTATACCAGGCCTGCAACCTTTATGGGTGAAAACGCCATTGTTCCATCGGTTTAGACTAAAGTATCATTTGTATAAAGCCACAAAATTGTCTTGCGTCCCAAAATTAAGAGAATAAACTTTTTATGTTTTATCATGTTCTTGGTTATTTATCCCTAAACTGTTTTGCAAAAGGCCAAAATCTACACTTGACTGTTTTATAGAAATCCACATTTCTATTTTTTCTTTATTATAGAATAACTTGATGTTAGTGCATCATATTTTTGATCCCTTACATCTATCATCGCCAACAGATTCGCAAAGCTGCTTCCTTTACCAAAGAAAATTGCAAGTACTGGGACTTGAAAAGCTGAATTTTCTGTTGTTTATTTAAATATAAGTATTTAGTTATTTTAGTTTAAAGTTACAAGGAGTCACTGCAAATGGTTGTAGGTTGCAGACCCCTGGGTTAGTATCAGCAAATTTAAGTACACATATAAACATTCAATTCAACCGGCTCTCTTGCCTTTAAGCAAAAGATAAATAGATATTGGACTTTCTTGGAAATAACGTTTTTTTATACAAGTATTGTAGCTTGTGTCCTAATGAACCTTTACTATTAGTTTTTTTCTGCGTTGTAGCTTAAAATGTAACAAAATTCTTCTAACTTCCCATTTGTGATTGATGTTTGTGTAGTTATTTTAGTTGTTAACGCAGAATCGGTGTGTAATCTCCCTAATGATGCATGTGTGACAGCGAAGAGTTAAGCTTGTTAAAAGAGGCCAGACTGGGTTTTGGAGAGGGGTCCCTTGAAATTCAAAAGGCTGAGATCATTTATCACAAATTTCAAAACACTTGCGTGTGTAATATTTGAGCATTAGGTAAGAGGGCTGGACTCTTATCTGCTTCACAGAAAGACACTAAGTTGGACATGTGAAGCAACCGGACAGGGCCCTTAGAAGGAATCATATCATGAGCATGTTGAAAAGAAAACAAGACGGATATTAAGCGTATCAACGTGGCCGATAACCTGATTTGTTGGCTTTGTAGCTTGGTGAAAAGTGGTCATCAGTATTTTTAAACGGTGTTCTAATTTCTCGTTTTGTTTCGGAAAGCATCTCTCGAGCTCCGTTTCCTGTACGCTGGTCCAGATGTGCGCACGCACACATGTAGCTCCCCTTTTGAGAATGTCCTGGTTGTTGCCTTGCAGCTCGGTGCATTCCTCAAAGCTCCATGTCATCTTAAACTCTTCCAGGAAAACAGCTTAACCAGAGGCCGGCCCTGAATCCAGTCCTCCGGACATACCACTTCACACGCCTCACCGAAACACATCTGTTTATGCCCTTTTGTGCATGTGTACATGAAATAATTTATCAGTTTGAGCGAATCTCAACAGTTTGTCAGTTTGGTCTCTTTGTTTTTGCCAATGTCTCTCGTCTCCTAATTGCTCCGTCGTGACGTCATTGCCGACTCTGTGTTGATGTGGAGTAGAAACGGCTGCTGTGTTTCAGCGTCTCTGGTCAGGTACAGGTTAAAGTTTAAATGCCGCGCTATCTCAGCCGTGAAGCTGTTTTCACTTTTGACCTCTGCCCCTCTGCAGCAATCCAGGAAGCCTGTGATCCTTAGTAGAGATGTCACACAGTCCTAGAATCAGTCAAATTGTGTAAATTAGGCTTTAATAACTGCAAAAATCTACAATACAATAGTCTCTCGTTTACTGCGGGGGTTACGTTTCAGAGCCCCCCCCCCCCCCCCCGCAATAAGTGAAAATCTGTGAAGTAGCGATGTTTTGTTTTAGTATTGATATATATTTTATATATTTAAAGCTTAATAAACTCTTCCCACATGCTTGCAATGTTCTAAACTCTTAAACCATCTAATTTTAACAGCATATGTACAGTACTGTACAGGTGCTGGTCATAAAATTAGAATATCATGAAAATGTTGATTTTATTTCAGTAATTCCATTCAAAAAGTGAAAGTTGTATATTCATTCATTACACACAGACTTGTGTATTTCAAATGTTTATTTCTTTTAATGTTGATGTTTATAACTGACAACTAATAACCCAAATTTAGTATCTCAGAAAATTGGAATACAGTATTACTTAAGACCAATATATAAAAAAAAGGATTTTTAGAAATGTTGGCCAACTGAAAAGTATGAACATGTACAGCACTCAATACTTACTTGGGGCTCCTTTGGCCTGGATTACTGCAGGAATGTGGCAAGGTAGGGAGTTGGTCAGTCTGTGTCACTGCTCAGGTGTTATGAGAGCCCAGGTTGCTCTGACAGTGGCCTTCAGCTTTTCTGAATCGCTGGCATATCACATCTTCCTCTTCACAATACCCCATAAATTTGCTATGGGGTTAAGGTCAGGCGAGTTTGCTGGCCAACTAAGAACAGGGATTTCATGGTCCTTAAACCAGGTACTGGTAGCTTTGGCACTGTGTGCAAGCGCCAAGTCCTGTTGGAAAATTAAATCTGCATCTCCATAAAGTTGGTCAGCAGCAGGAAGCAGGAAGTGCTTTAAAACTTCCTGATAGACAGCTACGTTGATCTTGGACCTCAGAAAACACAGTGGACCAACACCAGCAGATGACATGGCAACCCAAACCATCACTGACCGTGGAAACGTAACACTGGACCTCAAGCAACTTGGATTCTGTGCCTCCTCTCTTTCTCCAGACTCTGGGACCTTGATTTCCAAAGGAAATGCAAAATTTACTTTCATCAAAGAACATAACTTTGGACCACTCGGCAGCAGTCCAGTCCTTTTTGTCTTTAGCCCAGGCGAGACGCTTTTGATGCTGTTTCTTGTTCAAGAGTGGCTTGACACAAGGAATGCGACAGCTGAAACCCATGTCTTGCATACGTCTGTGCATTGTGGTTCTTGATGCACTGACTCCAGCTGCATTCCACTCTTTGTGAATCTCCCCCACATTTTGGAATGGGTTTTGTTTGACAATCCTCTCCAGGGCACGCTTATCACTATTGCTTATACACTTTTTTCCTACCACATCCTTTCCTTCCCTTCGCCTCTCTATTAATGTGCTTGGACACAGAGCTCTGTGAACAGCCAGCCTTTTTAGCAATGACCTTTTGTGTCTTGCTCTCCTTGTGTAAGGTGTCAATGGTTGTCTTTTGGACAACTGTCAAGTCAGCAGTCTTCCCCATGATTGTGTAGCCTACAGAACTGACTGAGAGACCATTAAAAGGCCTTTGTAGGTGTTCTGAGTTAATTAGCTCATTAGAGTGTGGCACCAGTTGTCTTCAATATTTAACCTTTTCACAATATTCTAATTTTCTGAGATACTGAATTTGGGGTTTTCATTAGTTGTCAGTTATAATCATTAACATTAAAATAAATAAACATTTGAAATATATCAGTCTGTGTGTAATGAATGAATATAATATACAAATTTCACTTTTTGAATGGAATTACTGAATAAATCAACATTTTCATGATATTCTAATTTTATGACCAGTACATGTATATGTAGCTACTCACCAGTTGGCAGAACAGCAGCGGCTCAGTTCCGCTTCGACTTGGTTCTGTTTCGGCAGCCCTACCCTGCCGGTTCTGGTCTGTTCTCTGGCTCGGGGTAGTGGCAGTGGGCTCCATACAGAAGCCGGACCTACGGCTGCGTGTCCCTGCTTAGAAGTCCTTGTGGGCCGGCTACCAGCTCTCAGATTCCCCTGATGTGTCTGGGGGTCTGATTCTGCTCCGATTCTGCTCCAGTTCCCGATGGGTTCTGTGTGGCTCTCTGCATCTGCTAGGTGTCAGTCACTGTAAAAGACTGAACTTTTTCAGATCAAATCAAAACTTTCCCTCTATGTATTTCAGCAGAAGGCAATGGGCTTCGGGGCTGGGCCCTGTTGGCTTCTGGGAAATGTAGTCCTTATGAGTGGCAATACAGTGGAGGCTTATTGAGGGAAAACTACAAAATGGCGGCGCCTGTCTTAAGTATTTTATTTTTCGTTAACTTTTTTTACTATAGTATTTCATATTGTCCCAATCACGTGAGTAATATTAAAGTTGACAATCATGTCATGTACAATTTATTTATTTATTGTTTTCTGTGTCCACTCTTACTTTTAAAAATCGTGAAAGAGCGAGTCCACAAAAGTCTAACCGCGAAGTAGCGAGGGACTATTGTAATCTCCTGGATGCGCTTCTGCTCTTTAGATCAGATTTTCACCCTTTTTGCTCAGAATGTGTAAATTCATCCCCCAACAAATCAAGAGATTTCTAACCTCTGCCGATGTTTTAATTGGAGAAGTTGCAGGTTTGGATGTGGTACATAATGTTGTGAACGTCACAGTTTGGCCCACACTGAAGTCATTTCATGAGACATCTACTATATTTCTCTATTTGGTGTTATTATCTGTAACAATATCTCTGGCTTGTCTTTCCCAGAAGATTTAAGTGTGACTTGACCTTCGAGAGAAAGCCACAGATCAAATCAAGCTGCGATTACTTCTCGTGCAATGATAACTGTATCTGGTAATATACTGGAGCTGCACAAGTTTGCATTTTGAGGGCTGCTGTGACCGTCTGGCTTAGGATTGCAAAATATTTAAAATGATTTTATGTATTTTGGAACGTTGCTGGATGTTGGAAACCACCTATAAATTATTCAGTTTTGT